CTCTCTCTCTCTCTCTCTCTATCTATCTATCTATCTATCTATCTATCTATCTATCTATCTATCTATCTCTATCCGGCATTTTTGGCTAGCCGACAGGAAGGGCAACTGCGTTGGCAGATATTGCGAGTGAGGGTTCAACAATGGCTCGTCCACGTCACTGCCGCTGGTAGATATGGCGACAGAGGGCGCGACACAGAGCTTTACCTGCAGCAGAATCAGAACCTGCTGCCCTGCCATGCACACTGTGTATCGTCGACCGATCGTTCGCTACAGCACGCCCTCTGCGGCCCAACCATCGTAACACGGTGTTCACGTCCTCACCCCTATTTATAAGAATGTTGTGCAATATACAAACCACGTGGAACTGCTTCGACATGGTTTTTATGTTGGGTAGGTGTGGTCTATGGAAAATTCTGGAAACGTCCTTTTAAAACGTCGCCGCCACGCTCGTTGTCCACATGCACCAATTTGAAGCAAGAGGAAGTCCCTGTGTCTGACATCCTGAACGAACAGGCTACCCGAATGAGCATGCCGATACAATGAGGAATTCTTGAGAACTAGAGAATCATGGATTGTGCCAGGAAGACCTACGTGCATGTCCAATATACGAAGACTGTGGTCGAACACAAGCTGCACCACAACCGAGAACCGCTTCGTTCTGCCATAACGATATGTGTCACCACACACATTAGTGGGCTTATCCACATATATATGATTGCAATCAATGCACCCCCAACAATCCGGGAAACCACAGGCCACGTAGTACGCCATGGAAGCCCCATGATCGGCCGTTGTGCCGAAGGAGATAGCATTAGGAAAGCACTTGATGATGGCATCCGTCACGTCGTCCGCGGACTTCAGCCCGCTCGTCGTTCCCATCTGATAACCCCAAACACTGTAGCGAAAGTTGTCTCTGGTGGCCCACCGATGAACGGCGTAACCTAGCAAATGAGCAGGATCGAGAGGGTGTTTGAACCGCGCGACTTGCCGAAGTTGCTGTGTCAGACTCGGCTGCACAACGACCTGAATGTGATCAAAAGTGGAGCGTTTCATTTGAACCAGAGTCTTAGAAGACATCCTCAACATCATCCTGCATGGTCATGTTGCCCCACTGACCGGTTCCTCACCTCATCACCCACCATCGTGGGGTTTCCCGGGGCAAAATGTTAACCGTGTGAAGACAAATGTGAGAGTTCGTGGTGCAAATAGAGGATTGGATGTATCCATCTCGTGTACGTGCTAGGCCCGATGTTACATGCCAAGTTGGGCTATGTATTCAGCCAAGGATCCGCAATGTGATGAAAAGGAATGAATCGACAATGTACTGTTAGTGAAACATCAACAGACAATGTACATCCCGATATATGAAAAATGGCATTTGATAGCACAGCGGAAGACTTTGAGATAAGTCCTGACCTGACCTGGACTGTTACGACATCCCATCATACATCACACATGTGAGAGGGAGAGGAGGGACCGCATGCATAGACGAAGGTCCCTCCTGCATACACACATGGGGAGATACCACGGATGAGAGATGGAGGGGGAGGGAAGGACGAAGATGGAGGCAAGGGAGAAGACTCAAGATCACAATAGCGGAGTTCGGAATAGTCCCTGGCCGAAGTCCAACGAATGTCTACCCAAAAATGTCGAACCAGATCCTGGGCCCAATACCCGTGACAATCCCCGCCTGTAACCTCTGCAAGTAACCACTCTCACTCTCGTAGTCTGCCGAAGCAGTGAAGTCAGACAGTGAGAGGATAGGGAGGGAGATGGTGGACTGAGAAGAGGAAGAAAAATAACTCTCTCTCTCTCTCTCTGGAGCCAGGTACTAACCTGTGATGGTGACGCTGTGCTGCAGGTACCTCGATGACGAGCTGGAGCTATGGCGCCACAAGTAAGTCACCCTGAAGGTGGCGTCCTGTTGCAGGTACCTTGAAGACGACGCTGGAGCTATGGCGCCACAGGTAAGTATCCCTGGCCTCCGCCAGCCTCCTCTCTCCACTACTCTAGCCTACTGCTACTAGCGCCCAGTGCTGAAGACTACTGCTAACGCTACTCTACTATTGCAGCCGAATCCTGAAGACTACTACCTCCTGCAGAAGTGCACATCGAGTGCCTGGGCAGTCTCCTCTCGTCTGTCCCAACCTGTAGGGCGGGCGAGTCTTATGTAGTGCTGGCCCGTCCAGGAGGCTGCTCTTGCCAATGCCTGCACGTGCTAGCCCCTGAGGAAGCTTCAGGGCAGGTCACTCCTGCCAATGCCTGGACGTGCTAGCCCCTGAGGAAGGTTCCAGGCAGGTCACTCCTGCCCATGCCCGACTGTGCTTGTTTCAGGGCAGGTCGGTCTGACGAGGGCCCGAGAATAGCCCTCAGTTTCAGGCTAAAAAGGCTCAGGCCTTTTTTAGGCTGAAACGATGCAGGGCCTGTGGGCCCCGGATGTCAGGCTTTTGGGTTGAACCGTCATGGGGCCAGTAGGCC